GATATGGTATGGTATTAATATCAAAAAAATCTTGTGAAATAGTGTAGAAATCAAACAAATTGTCAGTTGTATCAAATATTGCCTTTTAGATTTATAACCAAATTTTAAGTATTAGTGTTAATAAGATATGCCAATACTGCGATATGTTGAATTAAAGGAATTAAAACTAATAAAATGGAATTCATTCAGAAAAGTTTTATATGTGAATAAGATATACTCTAGATATAAAATTGATGAATTAATATAATTATATTTAATTGAACATTCATTACCATTAACATCTTTATCGGCAAAATAAATAGTAGGCTAAAAAAAAGTAATTAAATCCAACAACCTTTATTTAATTTGAAGAAAGGGTATATTTTTTATGATATATCAAATAATTATGCAGATTGAAGAGTTTATAGAATTATTAAAATATAAGACTTGGTTAATCTCTATGAATGAAAATCTCGAGGATATATTAGAAAAATAGAGTGAAATGGAGTTTAGAGATTAATTAATCAAAATTCATGACAATAAATTAGAATAACTTATAAACTTATTAAATAAAAAGTAATTTAAATTTAATTATATTGATTTTAATACAAAATTCTTAAAAAATTACAAAAATAATTTAATAACAAATTTATTTCTAGATATTTAGAAGAAAATTATTAAATAACTTCTCTATTAATCTTTATATTAATATTTTTTATAAAAAACCATTTGGAATAGAATTAGGATTTACAATAATTAAATTACTGAAATAAAGGTTGCTTAAAATGTTGATCCATAAACTATAAAAATAAAAATAATTAATTTATTTAGTTCAAAAAAAGTGAAGGCGTTTATAATTAGAATCAAAATGAAATTACACAATTAACTTATTTTTTCTTTATATCGTTTTGTTTGATTGATCATTATAAATGGAGAAATTTAATTGATTATATTCATGATCCCTTAAAATAGAGTTTATTATTACAAATTACCATTATAATATTTCATTTAATAAAGGGTATTCATTTAAAAATATCAATAAACAATAAAATTAGTTAATCAAGG